CTAGTTGTTGTTCTGCATTTTGTACACATTAGTTTCTCTTCTATTCATCTCATTCAAAAACTTAAAATATGAAAAATATTAAAACAAAATAATAAGTTATCTAAAGATATCTCAGAAGCAGTCATACTTCTATACACATCTGGAAAAGCAATTGTGGAATGTTGATCAGTTTAAAGATATCTGTTGTTCGGCATTTGTGCTAATATGAAAACAAGGTGAAGAAAAGTAAGGGTTTATTGGTTTTATGTGGTAATTGCTTAAATTAGTTAATTTTAATGTCAACACTTATATGAATTAATTTTAGTTATATTAATTTGACAAACATTTTGCATGGAAGTATGACTGCTTCTGAGATATCTAATTGATTTTCCAATTAATCACTCATTTAATTAAACTTACTATCAACATGTATTTAAAAAACATATATTATTAAATCATTAATTTACAAAATAAAACCCTCACCTTAAGCCTTTGATTCGGTCTTCTTCCTCACTTCCTTTTTCCGCGAAGATGCACTTGCACTGAATGGCTAGGTCTCTGTCTCTCACAAGCGATTCTTTCTGCTCTTGACAAAGCCGATCGAAACTAAATTATTTAATTAAAATTACACACACACACTTAATTTTATTATTTAAATGTTAAACTAAAGTGTATTTGAAAGCAAGAAATTATAACCAGAAAAATTAATTGGTTATACGAGAAGATTAGTCAACAATGAATGTGATGGTAAGATTTATGTTTCTATTTATATATTTGATTTTAGTTAAAATGTTACTAAATTAATATTAGCACTAGAATTAACAATCTTAGATTGGGAAACATTCAATACAAAAAGAATAGTTACTGTGGATTGTAAACTTTCAAAGAGGAGAAAGAAGTGATTAGAGGCATATTTTTTATTTTGTCGATGATAATAAGTAATTATATGTTTAAATTAATATAAACTTTGAATTTACTTTTGATTTTAATTGAATAAAAATAATAACTTGAAGTAAATCAACAAGGTGATTAAGTGAAGGAATAAGCATATAAAGAGATCTCCTAAAGATCAAGTGAGCAATTATGTTTTTAAGTTATAGTAATGTCGCTTATTCTTAAATAAATTACGGCTTACATTTTTGTATTATTTATGTCTTATGTCAATGAAATTACATCTGATTCTCCATATCGTTAGCAAGAGTATGCATATTAAATATAGTTGCATAGTAATTTAACTTTAAAATATATTAAATTATTGCATGACCATTATGTTATTGTAGAGATATATATGTTAGTTTATAGTATGATCAAATAAATATATATATACTTGTGCACCGGGTGTAGATGAGTTGGTGGCAGCTTTGCGTAAGTCCCCTCTCGACCCGGGTTCAAATCCTCGACCATACATGATTTGAATCTGCACATGATATTGATTGCGGGTCCCTTTTAATATTATATATATATATATATATATATAAAATAGATAAATTTGTTTATCTTTTCGCAATTAAAAAGATACATAGAGGTTGCATGAAAGGACCCAAAAAAAATGTGTCACACCCGTACGATACATCAGACATTAGCATCCTAAAAGAATGAAACATAAATAAAACACAAAAAAAAACAAAAATAAAACTTGCAGAAAATAAGCTGCTAGGCACGAGCCAGCTTGGTCTTGCCTCTGCCTCTGGTTCTAGGAGCAGAGACAGCTAACAAATTGCTAACACAAATTGCTGAGTGTCGTTCCATTACCCGAAGTTACTAGAGTATCATCCATTAAGTTCTCAATCTGAGTATCATCCATTAAGTTCTCAATCTGGGTGTGTCTCCATTCTTCTTTTTCTTTCTAGATGTGTATATCTATCATTCATCATCCGAGGACTGGCTCATCTGATCGGTATGGTCAACAGATTGTTGGGCATGTAGGAGAGAATGAGCCCCCAGCTCCTGACTAGCAGTAACAACATTTTGATTCTGAAGAGATGGTTAGCATCTCTTCAACACCTGATGCATCATGGGGATGTGGAGCTTCAATATTATCATGATTATCGAACCCAAGTAAACCATTTGTCAATATATCAGTCAGAAGAACAGAGACAGTATTGTCTCCGGTAGTGGGAGGGGGAGGTAACATCATTTCAACCGGTGTTTTAATAGTCTGTGGAATGCACTCAGGAACGGAGGAAGGACAGGTATGAGGTGGGGCAGATCCAGAAGAGTTTTTACATGAAGGTTTTAAATTCGGATGCAACTGATAACATTGAGAAGGAGAATGTCCAAACATACGGCAGTGGTTACAATAAAGTGTTATTTGTTCAAATACTGTTTGCTGCTAAAATCTCTGATATTGTGTGTCAATTCATATTTCTCCCGGAAAAGGTAAAGTAATATCTTTTTCTATCAAAATTATGACTTCTGAAGGCCGAGTCAGATTCACTGTAGGCGTGTCAGCTTTGAGGGGGTTATCGTATATCACTAAAGCAAAGAGAAGCTCCTGATAAAAAAGGTGGATCTTCAAAACTGGGAAGCACAAGCAAACATGAATGGTAGGAGGTTCAATACGGGGGTCAAAATCCACCGTCCATTTTAAAACCTTCATCACCTGGATTTCTATTCGAAGAACTCTTCTCGCAAACAAATGGGTGTAGTCTTTGTCATTTGATAATTGAATAAGAATTTGGCGACCATCCAATTTACCGATCTTCCAACCCCTTTCAGCTTCATTTGATCAAAGCTTTCATCAAAGTCCTTTCGATTTTCGAATTAGCTCAAGTTTAGGGTTTCCATAAAGAAACTTACCAACTAAGAACAATCGGCAGGGCGCAGCTGGAATGGAGATCTCTGCCTCAGTGAGAAAGATTACAGGTTTGTCGTTTTTACGGGAAGTTTTTTTGAGAAATCTGATTTCAATGTCAAGAGCAAAATTGTTGTGGTATTGTTGCGGTAACATATTCGAAAGAGGAGCGGAGACGGGGTTATCACTGGCGAGGGCGGCGGCGTAGGAACTTCCTGAAGACATTTCTCAGGTGCAACAGCAGCTGAGAACTCGTGAATAAGAAGTCGGGAGAGCCGAACGAAGCCGGGAACCGCAGAAGCGAGGCGCAGCTGACAGACGCACGAACAGTGCACGACGGACGGGAGCCGCAGAAGCGCGACCACAGGGTACAAACGGGCGTAACAGTGCGCAACGAAGAAACAACGCCAAACGACGCGGATGAAGCGCGTTGGAGAAGATACGACGAACTGCAATCGACGAGGAGATCAGGTTTCGCCATGATGGCGAAACCCTAGCAGAAAGAAATCAAAACAGACGACATCGTCGTGTATATATATAT